AGTTGAAGAAATGAAGAAGATTCTGTATGCAAGCGTAGTCGGGTGTTTAATGTACTCAATGGTATTCACAAGTCCAGATCTCGCTCAATCTTTGAGTATGGTGTCAAAGTACATGTCAAATCCAGGTAAAGATCATTGGCAAGCTGCCAAATGGATTCTTAGATACCTGAAGGGCACCAGAAGAAAGGGGATTATGTTTGAAAGACAACATGAAGAGGTGTGCATCACTGGTTTCGTCGATTCCAACTACGCAAGAGATTTAGACAAGAGAAGATCCATAACGGGATATTTTTACTTGCAGTGGAGGACCCATATCTTGGAGATCCATGCTACAATCCATCAATGCCTTGTCTACCACAGAAGCCGAGTACATGACATTAACGGAAGCTGCGAAGGAAGCCATATGGCTCAAGGGCTTAGCCAGTGATTTGGGTCTAAATCAAAACTCTGTGAAAATTCAATGTAATAGCCATAATGCTATTTGTCTTGGAAAGAATCAAGTATTTCATGCAAGGACAAAACACATTGAAGTACACTATCATCATATTCGTGATTGGCTCATGACAGGAGAGGTCAATGTGAAGAAAGTTCACGCAGACGAGAATGCATCAAATTTTCTCACTAAACCAGTTATGGCGGAGAAGTTCAAGCATTGCTTGAGTCTACTAAATTTGACGACATGTTAGCTCATGAGTGCACCTAGTCACCAGAGGTGCGGGGAGATGAATTGATGCTCATCAACGTGAAGCAGCTGAAGCCAGAGCAGGACTTGCTCTGAAGTTCCAGAGTCTAACTTGTTAGATTTCGAAGATCCATGTTTAGGAGACAAATGTTCAAATGAAGATTGACATTTTAAAAACTCGTATTCCGAAGACTAATGCTCCGAAGATGCAACTTATAATTTCGAGTGGTGTCGGATATCTTGCCAATGTAGAGATTGTTGGAGTTAGCTCAATTTCCAACTAGATTTATTGCTACAATTTTCTGCATGCAGATGCAATTTTGTATGGTCTTTATGGGCATGGCGTAGTCATTATTTGGCTCGGAACGCTACATGAAAGTTGTAGAGGTGCATGCATAGTTTACTCCAAGCTTTGAATCACAAGAATCAGAGCAGTATGGATGAAGTTATGGTCACTCAAAGTATCCTACCCGAATCTGGATAGATTTGTGTATTCCCAAGCATTTTGGAAGATGAAAAGGTTAATCAAGGCCTATAAAAAGGCATGCTATCATTGTGGAAAGGTAATCCAAGGAAATCCAAGGCAATACAAGGATAATCTAAGTTTTCCACTAGTTCTCTTGAAAGTATAGAGACTTAGAGTGAAGGAGAGTCTCTTGTATTGTAGAGATCTCTAATGTTTAGTTAATATAGAAGAAGCGTGTGTGAGGGCTGTGTGGAAGTCAGCACTGTTGGGTGTGCTGTGTGTGCCTTATACCCATTTGTTGATTCCATTATAGTAAAGTATCCTCCGAGCTCTGAGCTCAACCCGTGGTTTTTCCCGTTTGGGTTTTCCACGTAAATCCTTATGTTCATTCTTTGTGTGACACTACCACAAAATAGATATATGGGGACGGTTATTTGGGGACGGTTCAAAACCGTCTCCTTTGCTTCCTAAGGGAACGGTTGTGTGACGGTTAGAATCATCACGAAAGAGTCTAAGGCAACAGTTCAAAATAAAGTGTTAGGCTTGAATTAGACCTGGAAAAAAAACTTTGGTAGGCTAATGGAACGGTTTTATTAAGGGCTCGCGCGCAAACTTTTTCAAGGAAATATATTTGTTTCTCAGAACCGCTCCTGATCACCACCCGATAAATCTAAAATTTGTTCACCCGATAGTTCTAGGGTTTTCTAAATCTCGTCAACTCCTCTCAGAACCTCGTCCACCGTCCGCCATTCCTCTCCTCTCATCGACTCCTCTCAGAACCGCGTCCGCCGTCCGCCACTCCTCTCCTCTCGTCGACTCCTCTCAGAACCGCGTCCGCCGTCCGCCACTCCTCTCGTCGACTCCCTCGTCCGCCGCTCTCGTTTTTCCTCTCGTCGACTCCTCCGTCCGCCGCCGGCCACCTTGACTTCGTCAGTTCGCCGCGCCTCCCATGTCAGCCACGCCTCTCGTCGCTATCCCCTCTCTATCATCTTGTGATTTGGGGTATATCTCTCTCCTTTTCAGTCATCAAACCTAGGGTTTCAATTTTTTTTTCTTTTTCTCTATTTAATGAAAATTTTATTTGATTTTACAAATTAGGGCTTTGTTGTTTTGGTTGATCATTGAAAGTGGTTGAAAATTCTACATCCTTACTGGACAAGGTTAATCCGCAAAATTGAATTGGTATATGTTTTTAATTTTTGTTTAAATTAATTTATTTTCTCTATTTATTCTGTTTATGCTCTTCGCTATAGCCTTCGGTTGATCATTCTGTTTGTTTTTTTTACTTTATTGGTATCTACAGTGGGCTCACTAGCCGAATAATGATGTTGGAGTATTTTTTTTATGAAGTGGTAGGTTTTGTGATGATTAATAATTTTTATGTGATAATTAAGGGTTATAGGCTATCTTAGGACTGCACCTAATCCATTTAGATATGATCCCTTACATGTATAACTATATAAAATACGAGAAGATAACCTCATTTTTTTATGAAGTGGTAGTTTAGTGGAGTGCGGCCGGATCCTCTGTTGCATATCTATGTGTTGATATCTATGTGTCTGACATTGGTACCAAGTTTTCTGTTGCATATCTATGTGTTGATATCAGCACACATAGATATCAGTCTGGCACAAATTGTAGAATTTTGCATATAGCCTATTAGCCTTTACTGCAATCAATAAAAGTCAAATTATGTCTGTAAAGGTAACTTCTCACAAATCAAATGCAACTTGATGCATCACTACATTAGTACTTTAACTTTAAATGACATAATAACAAACAAATGCATTAAAAATCATAAAAGATGAAGATAAAGCAGCCAACCTTAGACTTTGTTTCACAACGAACATCAAGTTGCTGAACACGTAGTGACAGATATCACAGAGATAATCACCACCTTAATTCCTTTATAGTCTACGATTCACATTTGATAAAACAACACAATTATGATTTAAGATTACTTGACTGTGTATTTCCAACAGTATCTGAGTGCTAAAAATGCATAAATAGGATTATAAATTGTGTTAATGAGGCCAGGAATCCTTTGTCGTGAGGGTCAATGGCCCATCAATGAGCAACATGTATCAAATTTCTATTAGCATCTAAGACTTCAATATGGAAGCAATCATGGTTAATGGTTTCGGATTATAAAATGATCTAATATGGCATTAGAAAAAGAAAAAAAAGGTTATGAAGCTAACAATATTTATCCTAACAGATAAAAAAGTGCAAATGAACTCTACACTTCCATGTTAGAATGACGTTAAGTATAGCAATCCAGTAAACTACTGATGATGAAAACCGATAACGCATCAAAGTGAACATTCAGGACCAGGAAAGTATAAGAATAACTATAAAGTCAAAACATGGAAAGAAAAAAAAACATGGTCTAAAAATTCCTGATAAAGATTTTCAATCTAACAGAAACAAAAACTAAAATAGCAGATATCGCCTATTATCAATTGCATATCAACCAATGAATTGGAGTTTGTTCCACAAACTAGGAATATGCATAAATAAACAACAATAATTCAAATAAACTTTTGAAGCTCAATCAAAACAAGTGAATCCCATTGCATGATTGAAGCATGATTTCAATAATCAAATATTTCTGAAGGTAAAAGTATAGAGGAAAATTTTCATGACGCCGAAATTACTAAAGGACATAAGAACAAAAGGTTGTGTCTGCGACATAACTATTTAAACACAAAATCTATTCCACAAGAAAAAAAATCAAAATATAATTGGTTTTTCCTACAGGGAACAAAACCAACACAGGCTAACTGATGTCACAAACTTCCTTAAAACAGATTCAATTTGACCAATGCGATAAATTGCAGTCACTAACAAAAATATCACTAGGAACAAATTACCAGATACAAGAAGAATAGCCTCTAAAGTTGCAATATGCAGGGAGGAAAATCAAATTTTATTGAAAATTTAGAGCTCCCAAGTTTCTTTATTGCTTGAGTATATAAGGGAGGAAAATCAAATTTATTGAAAATTTAGAGCTCCCAAGTTTCTTTATGGCTCGAGTATGTAAGGGGTAGATGACAAACTGTGTACAGATAAGGATAAGATATGAAAGCATAGAAATTTACAAAAATTCCAAGGTCAAAACCAATCAAAAATAAAGAAAATAATGAGATTGTTCTGAAAAGTCTAATTTTTTGTTCAATCTCAATTTGAAGAGCTTTTCTCATTTCTGTTAGTTATTCTGTTTTCTTCAGTACGTGTGTATCTTAAATCAAAACTTCTGCTCACATGGAGTGATAATACTTGATTAAACAAAGTATTAATGCCATCAATAGAAGATCCTCAGATTTATTTTATAACAGCAAGTTGAAGACAAAAAAAGAAAAAAAAGAAAGAAAAGGCTCTTCCAATAATTTCATGTCATTAATGCCATCAATAGAGGTCTCGTCAAATTATTCAATTGTTGTCACAACTTCTATTTTATGTCATCTCAAATTTTGTCTATGTCATGTTGCAGTACGCCACTTGCTATCTTATTAATCATCATTCAACCATCACACTTTGTTTAATTGATGCATCTTACATGTTTGAAGATTACTTACCTCTATAATTAGATTGCTGGTAAACACCTAAAAGAAAGAAAAATTATATATGTTGCTCGTCATCCTTCTCATTAAAGTGAACAATAATAAAACAGTACCAATTATACATGCAAACTCTTTAGTTGATAAATTTTTATACATTATAAGTAAGTAGATATATATTATTGATGTCTCAATATATTTACTTTTCTCTAGCAGATACAAATTATGGATAGAGATAGAGGTTGGATGTATAATACTTCTCGCGTAAGTGCCGAGTACATTGAAAAAGTGAATGACTTTCTTGATAAAGCATTTGCAAAAGCAGCTAAAGGGAATGAAATTTGTTGTCCTTGTCGTGGTTGTTTTAATCGTTGTTGGCATCAGCAAAATACTGTCTACAATCACTTGATTGTCAAGGGATTTATAGATAATTATTAAAAAATTGATTTTCCATGGTGAGGATTTGCCATCAAGATTGAACATCCATAGCGAGAGTGATGATGATGATGCACGTACTCATGATGATGTAGGCGGATTACTACATGATATTTTTAGAGGCACAATAGAAGAGTTTTTAGATAACGATGAAGAAGGCATAAAGGAAGGCACAGAGGAATTGACCGAGGATGCTAAGAAATTTTATAAGTTAGTGGAAGAAGGTCAACAAGAGTTATTCCCAGGATGCAAAACTTTTTCCAAACTCTCTTTCATAATTCGATTATATCTGCATAAGTGCTTTCATGGACTAAGCAATGAGGCATTTGATGATTCTATGACCTTGTGGAGGGAAGCAATTCCAGACATAAAGTTGCCAAAGTCTTTTTATGAAGCCAAAAGGATTGTCAAGGACTTGGGTCTCGATTATGAAAAAATACATGCGTGCTCTAACGATTGCATGTTATTCTATGGAAATGTAAATGGGAAACTGAATGAGTGTAGTAGTTGTGGTGCTTCTCGGTGGAAGCCAAAGAAGGATGATGCAGCAAATGACTCAAATCAACCAACTAAAAAGGTGCATAATGTTCCAGTAAAGGTTTTGAGGTACTTTCCTTTAAAACCTAGAGTTCAAAGACTATTTATGTGTTCTCAAACTGCTAAATCTATGAGTTGGCATTCTAAGGAGCGCATCGAGGATGTGATTCTAAGGCATCCGGCTGATGGTAAAGCTTGGAAAGACTTTGATAAAAAGCATCCAGAGTTCGCATTAGACCCTCGTAATGTGAGATTAGGGCTTGCTAGTGATGGATTTAACCCCTTTCGAACAATGAGTATTGCGCATAGTACATGGCCAGTTATCTTAATCAACTATAATTTACCGCCATGGATGTGCTTGAAGGCAGAATATTTCATGCTATCTCTACTTATTCCTGGTCCTCAATCCCCTGGCAACAACATTGACATATACTTGCAGCCACTGATTGATGAATTGAAAGAGTTGTGGGAAGTTGGATTGCTTACATATGATGCTTCTATCAAACAATCATTTAAATTGCGTGTAGCTTTGCTTTGGACAGTTAGTGACTTCCCAGGATACGCAATGTTGTCCGGATGGAGTACTAAAGGCAGGTTGGCTTGTCCTTATTGCAATTATAATACATGCTCTGAGTATTTAAAATATAGCAAGAAGATGTGTTATATGGGTCATCGTAGATTTTTAAAAGATGACCACCCATGGCGATTTAATAAAAGATCGTTTAATGGTGACATTGAGCTTGGAAGAGAACCGATATCACTGTCTGGGACTGAAATTATAGATGAATTATCTGATTTTGTCAATGAATTTGGAAAAAAGCAAAAGAAAAAAGCAAATAGAAATTGTCCGTGGAAGAAAAGGTCAGTATTTTTTGATTTACCTTATTGGGAGCATAATAGATGTCGTCACATGCTAGATTTAATGCATATTGAGAAGAATGTTTGTGACAATATTGTTGGCACATTGTTAGACATTCCAGGAAAGACGAAGGATCATGTTAAAGCTCGCTTTGACTTACAAAAAATGGGCATAAGACGAGATCTTCATCCTGTGCAGTCGGCTGATGGTCGTCGTGTTACATTTGCGAAAGCTTGCTTTTCTATGACATCACAGGAAAAAGAAATGTTTTGCAAAGTGTTGGCAGATGCAAAAGTGCCTCATGGTTGTGCATCAAATATCTCAAGATGTGTAAATGTGAGGGAGAAGAAAATATCTGGGTATAAGACTCATGATGCTCATTTTCTCATGCAATATTTACTTCAAGTTGCATTAAGAAGAAGTTTGCCTAGGAGTGTTGCTATTCCTCTCATCAGATTAGGTGCTTTCTTCAAGGGTTTATGCAGCAAAGTTCTCAAGCCAGTTGAACTTAAATCCTTGCAGTCTGAGATCGTAGAGATACTTTGTCAACTTGAGAAAATATTTCCACCAAGTTTCTTTGACATCATGGTTCATCTTCCCGTTCATTTAGTTCAACAAATTTTGGATTGTGGGCCAGTCAACTACTTTTGGATGTACCCAACAGAGAGATATCTTTGTAGATTAAAGTCATATGTGCGTAATAGAAGTGCTCCTGAAGGCTCCATAGCAGAAGGATATTTAGCTGAAGAGTCCCTAACTTTTTGCTCATTATATATGCATGATGGTGTCAAGACAAGATTTAATAGATACACAAGTATGTATGAGAGAGTTGATGTTGCAGAAGAGACATCGCCAATTTTTCCTAAGATAGGTCATCCATTGGGAGGAAAGAGGAAAAGAAAGGGCAAAGCATTTACATTAGATAATGTTGACTGGGTTAATGCACATCGATATGCCTTGTACAATTGTGATAACAATGAATTTGATAATTATATACGGTATGATTCATTACTTAATTATTACTTCTTATTTAATGTTGTTGTCCATATTTCACTTTATAGACCTATGTATTTTGTATTGTTATGCAGTGAACATAAACTTTTGATTGAGAATTAGTCAAGAAAAAGAGGCACAACAAATAAATGGACGGGAGCTCAAAAGCACAGCAAGGACTTCACTGACTGGTTTAAAACTAGAGTATCTGAGTTGGAATCAGTGCCTGATTATCTAAAATAGTTATCAATGGGTCCTAATTTTGTAGCAAAAAAATACAGAGGCTATTATGTGAATGGTTGTACTTTCCACATCAAGGCGCGTGATGAAACATGCAAAACTCAGAATAGTGGTGTGTCTGTAACCAGTCAAGTAGACAGTTATGCAAGTTCTAAGGACCATATGTGTCTGTAACCAGTCAAGTAGACAGTTATGCAAGTTCTAAGGATCATAATCCTAAAACTGGAAATGTTACTTTTTATGGCGTCATACAAGATATCATTGAAATAGACTATTGGGGCAAATTTAGTGTTGTGCTATTCAAATGTGACTGGTTTCATTCAGAAGAAGATGAATATGGCCTTATCCGCGTCAATTTTAATAACAAAGGCCATATAAATGATCCTTTTGTCATGGCATGCCAAGTTCATCAAGTTTTCTATGTGAAGGATCCTGTTGAAGAGGCAAACAAGAATTGGCATTATGTTTTAAAGAAGCTTCCTAGTCATGTTTATGATATTGACCGTGATATTGGTGCTACACATGGAGGTGACTATTGGGTTGAAAGTATTGACATTGTCAGTGATTTAATCCCAACTAGTAATGATGACATAGATGATGTGGGTTGGTGTAGAGATGATGTGCCGAGGTCCACTGTTGACATTCCTCCAAATATATATATTCATGATGATAATATAATGGAAGGTGATGAAGATAGTGACTTTGATGAAACAGATTGGGATTGGATGGAGTAAAGACATGGGACTTTCTGTATGTTTTGAAAGAAATGAGCTTTGAACTTTATGTTTTGAGTATATGGGTTGAGTAGACTTTGTCACATTTTTACCATTTATTTGATCTCAATCATTAACATTTATATATTTACTGATTCCTTACTTTTCTTCCTTTTTAAGTGGTTTAGTCAATTCAGTGTTATGACCTCAAGCTGCAAGTAGCTGGCATGTAGGCTATCGAGCGTTCTTATTTATTAAATGCTTATTAAAACTGTGTCATAATTTGTCAGCCAGGGAGGACATAGTCGAATCACCAAGAGAGGATATAGGCATGCATAGTTGTATGCAGTGATCAGCAGTGATATAATTCCTCTAGAGAGGATATTGTTATCAATTGACTGAACATGAGAGGATAAACCAATAAGCCCCTTGTAGAAAGAGAGAAGTTCCTGTTGAATATTAGTCTGAGTAGTGAGCTTGACCCCTTGATTTTTATAGAGAACATGAATGAGATTAGTAGATTTTTTTGCTTCACATATGCATGAAAGAAATTAGAGTTGAGATCACCATATTTTTTTATCCAAACCGACTCTTGCTTTTTTTTTTTTTTGCATATATCAAGCTTCATTTTTTAGAACATTCATCAGATATGTGCATTAGTTTCTAGTCATCCACTAAATGATCTGGAGAGAACCTATTTTCCTTCCCGTGTTGCTGGATATTAGTTTAAAGCATAGATGGAAAACACTATTTTGTTCAATATTATATTTCTTTGTCAAGAAAACTCTGCCATCTGAGATATAGTTTGTTCTGCTGCTTCTGCAGTCTCGACAATAACATAAGATGGCTGGACATGTCTTAACACTTGGATCTAGTTGCCATAGCAACCAGCAAATCAATTATACTCCAATTTACCACTTTAACTTTGACTTCTGATGCGGTGAGATAAACTTTGTCAAGCATTAAACTGAATAAAATAAACGCTGAGCTAACTTTAGTGTCCTTGTTGAAGAATTTATTGCACTATCACCATACTGCAACATTTGATATTGTTATATAGAATTTGTCAAGTCTTCCGTTGCATCAAGCAAAGATCCAAGCCATTTTATTAATTTGGGGTTCACTAGTAAACTATGTATTACATACATAAGCACACCTTTCATGTGAAGTCATTTCAGTATGTCAGCATATGAGTAAGTTACGTCGTTAACTGTTTTGAGTTCTGTACTGTTGCACTTTCATGTGGTCAGAGAACTCTGATCTATAGCAAGTATTAGTTGCTGCAACATTTGTTGATTCTTGTGAGTTTTCCTCATTCAAATTAACTCGTGTCATCATTTATGTAAGTGTTTTTCTCATCAAATTAATGGAGGGTTCTCATCAAATGGAGGTTAATTATATGAAGCAACTTCATGCTAAGCTAAATGATAAAACTGCACTCCTTATGCTGAACTACGCCACATAAGATGCATCATCCGTGTCAACTAATAAGATCTGGAGAGAGCCTCACGTCTTGATATATGGAATAGCGTAGTTAGCAATATTCTCTTATAGGATAATTCATATTCATTAGGTTTCTTATATCTGACTATTTGGTTTTGCAACAAAAAGGCACACTTTTCTATCAAAAAAGAAAAAGAAAAAGAAAAAGATCATTTGAGTTACCAGGGAATATGCATTCCCTACAATTCATCAAGAACTTTCATGCATTGTGCACGAATATGTGTTATGATGTATCTTTTGTCCTCAGAGTTACCAGGGAACAAACAAAAACATGGAAGCGGAAAAAAATTCTGTGTCAGCCTCTTCAAAACAGAAGAGATCATTTGAGGTAAGTTGGGTTGATTTTTAATTGTATATTCTAAGTATCTTTCTCTAACTGTATTAATTTTTGTACTTTTCCTTGTTTGTAGGTTACGAGCGCAGAATGTGGGCGTGGTGACAAAAAGAAGCAAAATAGGATCTTTTATCCTCCAAAACAGATTACAAATGTGATAACGACATGTCCACAAGTGCGCTCAAAAGAACATAATCGGGTAAATAATATGGATATTATGAGAAAGCATGCGCCCAATATATGTGAACCACCTACTAGAAATATTGCAATACAAAGAAAAGAGTTAGAGGTGCAGACAAAGAAGAAAATGATCTGTATGAGACAATCAAGAGAGGAGAAAATGTTGGATGAAATAGAAAATGTGGAGCGAGATATTCGGAAAAAAATCATAGAGCAAAAGGGACAATCTAGTAAGGCACGACAACAGCTTCACAATCATGCACAAATAAAGGTGATAGCAAGAGGAGAACACTCAGCCAACATAGAAGATGAAGAGGAAGATATTAGAGAGGATTTCATAGAAGATGCTGAAGGAGATGTTAGTGAACATAATGAGCAAGATGAAGAGGAAAATATTTGGGAGGATTTTACAAATGAGTCTGAAGGAGGTGAGGACTTAAGGGAACAACCAACAAGACAGGTAGCCAATAAAGTGGTAGACAAACCCAAAAAATATCGAGGGCAAACTAAATGTGAAAAAATTCATGCACGAAGTGTCCATGATCGACAAGTTATTTTTTTAAATGGGTTTGGACAACCTATCGGACCGTCAGATAAGGCATGCAGTGAACTTAGCAGTTTCTTAGGCACACTTGGAAGAAACTCAAGTTTTGCACCTCTGGATAAGGAAAATTGGCACAAAGTTGAAGAAAAAGATAAAGAAAAAATATGGGATTATGTTAAGGTACGATTTTTATAATTAATCGCTAATTTCCTGTTGTTCTTTCCCTCTTATTTATATGAAGTATTTATGATCAAAATTTTTTATTGTCAAATTATGTTATTGTAGGAAAATATGATATTCCGGAGGAAGGAAAAAAAATGGACCTTAGAAACTGTCAATTGTGCATGGAGGCGCTGGAAATCCATATTGAAGAAGAAGTGTTTTGACGGGTTCAAAAATGACAAACAAAGACTAAAGACACGGCCAAATACTATACCTGAAATAGAATTTAAAGCCTTGCTCAAATTCTGGAACTCCGAACAATCAAAGGTAAATGAGAAAAAAAACATGCTTTGAAGCCTGGAGTAGTTCAACTAATTAATAACTGTAACATTGCTTTAACATGCTTATAACAATCAGGATTATAAGATATGTGCTTGATTCTTGAAATTTGTTTTTTTCTTGCTTTTGCACTGAAAGCTATTAGGCCATGGCACTAAAAGCTATTAGGCCTGGAGTAGTTCAACTAAAGTTTGTTTTTTATTTTAATTTTTTTCTTTTCTCTTTGTTGATTTTTTTCTTTTTTCTCTTGTTGTAGTGTACCTTAGTACCTATATCATTTTGAGGACATGCCATAATTTGAACCTTAAAAATTTAAAGTTTGCTGATTAATTGTCTATGTTACTACTTACTAGTTAGTAATTACTATTCAATAATTCTTACTACTTTATTTAGCTAGACCTGGACATGGACAAACCCTTATGTATTTTATTATATTGCATATATAAATTATTGAATTCATACTTACAGGAGTTATAGGCTCGTTTATCGTTTCATACTAATGGTTTGGTTGTTATTTAAATCCACGTTCCTTCTATATGTGTAGAAAACAAGTGAGACCAACAAAGCAAACCGTGAAGGTCTAGAATATGTGCACACTACGGGGACAATAAGCTTTGCGAGGATTCGCAAAAAAATGGTATTTCAAAATTATTTTAGTGTTACTTATTAACTGCATCCTTTCTTTTTGTTCGTTTTTAATGTATTTATAAATATTTTAACTATCATGTCTTTATTATAGGAAAATGAGTTAGGAAGACCTCCAAGTGAAGCTGAAATGTTTATTAAGACCCGTAAAAAGAAGATAAATCCACAAGGAGAGAAAACAATCAAATTGATAGTATGTTCCATATTCCCTAAATATTAGTATTCATGTATTGCTTTTTAGGTCCTAATTTTCATATAACATGCATAGCAACTAAATATAAATTTTGCTAATGTAGGGTGCTTTAGAAGAACTCAAATCTCAAGATGAAGCTGATGATGCATGGGGTTTAGTCAAGAAAGATGAACATCCTGGACGTGTACGTCTTAGAGGGAGGGGTGTCACTAAAACCATGCTCCAAAATAAAAATAAAAAGATCATGGATCCCTCTGAGCAAGTTCCAGAATCTGTTGTTCAAAGTATATCACAAAAAGTTGAGCAAGAGTTGACAAAAAAGTTTGAAGAGCAGAAGGCAGATTTGGTTCATGGTTTCGCCGAGCTCTTGACTGAAACTCTTGGGCAAACAATTGATCCGGCGGCTATTGCAAGGCTTATTGCACGCACAAGATCACCTGAGCAAGGTGGTAGTGCTCGAAATCATGATCATCCTCGCTCATCTGCAAGCAGCCATCAGCCACGAAATGAGGTAGTTTTTTCTTTTGTTATATCTTTCTTTTTCTTTTTTGTGTATTATGACAACTTGATTTGGATTGGTTGCTTCTTAGTTCGCCCGAAATGAGGTGTTATATACCTAAATATGATCGTCATGCAATAAGTTATGACTCTAAAGAGACACATACAGTCCATTTCATGCAATAAGTTATGACTCTAATGACCTTTATCCTTCTACCATCCGTGTCTCTTCTATTCTACTTGTGCTTACTTTTAAATTTGTACATGTAGTTTATTAATTTGTAATCCTAATCTGTGTAAGTATTTGAATAACTATCTTTATATTCATAAATTTAACAGTAAAATTGAATAATTAGCAGTGTCTTCCATGACTTCTCTGTTTGATGATGAAAATATCAGATGGGTAGAGAGTCTAGGATGAGTTCTAGGTTTGCTTAAACTTGTCCAATTCTCCCTTGTCCCTGGACGTAAAGTAGTTTGCGTTTTAAAATACTGCACGTTAGACATCAATATTTTGTGAAAGCTAATGTCAGTTCAGATTGCTTGCACATTCAAGTCCATGTACTCTAGTCATATATGACTGAACGTGAACAAGAAGTTTAAGGTGAGAGCTGCTATAATTGAATGGAAAATGAGTCCAGTATATTAACTTGTCTTGGTTTGTGAACCATAAAAATATGCGTAGACAGATTAAAAGGATTTCTGATAGCATACACGTACATAATATTAAATTGCCTCTTTAACTTCTTCCCCTTTCCTATATTTTTCCTTCTAGCTCTCTTCATATTTGATTCATGAATAATTCGCTTTAGACATTATGGGGACATGCACTAAATTCCCCTCTGCTCATTTATTAGCAATTAACACTTTTTATACCATATTTCAGTATGATATATTGCAAGTGCAAAGTGGCATCTCTTTTTTTATTACGAACTGGAGGAGATTATGTCCTAATAAATGAGTAGAGTTGGATCTGTGCAACTCAATGTACAGATGAAGATGGTTATGTGCAATTTACCTATTTAAATTTATGAGGTTTTTCCTGTTGCAAGCTGAATATATGGGGGGATAGTCTTTCTCCTGCTATTCATTCTTCTTCCCCAGCTTCTCTGTTTCCCTCTCACTTGCTAATAAAAAATGAGTTATTTCCATAAAAATTTGCTCAATTCATTTGTATCTCATATGTTAGTGTCAGAGTCGTATCACAGACATCGATAAACGTCTTAACATTCTTTTGAAGCATGATATAATTGTGTTAAAACACTCAAGCTCTGAGTTCTGTGGTAAGATGCACATTTTGAAGGAAGGCGTTCAACAGGAACGAGCTTTTGGTCCTGGTAGAATGCAATATAGTTACAGCAACAAACGTTGAATTGTAGACTCTACAGCAAGTTTTAATCCTTTATCCTTCTACCATCTGTGTCTCTTCTATTCTACTTGTGCTTACTCTTAATTTCATTATATTCCTAAATATGATCGTCATGCAATAAGTTATGACTCTAAAGAGACACATACAGTCCATTTCATTCTACTTGTGCTTACTTATCTTTTTATCTTGATGTATGCAGGAAAACATCTGAAGATCCATGTTTGTCGCTCTTTGGGGGATTTATTTGTTGTGCAGATTTAGAACTTAATCGTCTCAATAGAGACATTTTGATTAAGTAGTAGCTCTTTGTTTTAATCATGGAGGATTTGTGATATGTGCTTAATTTGGTTAGTTTGTGTGTAAAACTTGTGAAGAATTATCTCAATCCTATTGCTATAATATTGTTGTTCGTTGTAATGAATTGTTCATTATATTAAGGCTAAAGTTTGGTTACTTTGTGTGTAAAACTTGAACTATTGTTTCTTGTATGTGATGGACTGATGTGTGATATCTGGGTGATTTGTTTTGATCAGTAAAAAATATAAACCGTCCCCTTTGGTATAAAAATCATCCTCATAGATCACAAACAAAACCGTTCCCATAGACAATATAACTGTCCTCTTAGGTCAAGCTCGAAACCGCCCCCCTTGGTATAAAAACCGTCCCCATAGAAACCGTTCCCCTTGCTATCAAATTGTTCACATTGCTTAGAACCTAAAAACCGTTCCCCTTGCTATCAAACCGTACCCGTTGCTTAGAACCTAAAAATCGTTCCCCTTAATATACAACCGTTCCACTTGCTCTAAACTAAGAACCGACCCCTTAGCACAACCGTTCCCTTATGGTACTGTTGGGGACGGTTACAAATCGTTGCACTAGGAGCATAAACCGTCCCATTAGACCTACGGGCACGGCTGCAAACGAGACGGATGTAGAACCGTCCCCATAGGCCTAGTGTGATGGTTTCCGTGCCTAGGGTGACGGTTCACAACCGTCCCCATAGGCCTCAAATGTGGTAGTGATTATCTTTTATCTTTTTGTCATTAAGAACAAGACCCTGAAGTGGTGTTGAGAAGTTTCGCGGTTCGTCAACACCAACACTAGTAACCTAACATGCTACTTTTGTGAAGAGGATGATGAATTTGCTGATCATCTTTTCTTACACTGCTCTTATGCTACTACATGAAGGAACAAGCTCAATCCTTTCATCTTTATCTTAATGATGCCTATTTCAGTGGAAGAGTCAATGACCTATAGTGGTTCTTTTGTCCTTGATAAAAAGCTTCATATATTGTGGGATATCTTTTTTCCTATTTTCCATTAATGTGTTCGGAGAGCAAGGGAACAATTTGATCTCTAATGGAATCAAAACTGCGGAAGAGAGGGTGGTTTCTAATATAGCATACTTTGTACTCTTATGGAAAGGAAACTCAATCAAAAAGAAACCATCAAACCTAAAGAAGTTGATCAAGGAGAAGGGATTGCACCAACTTCTCTCTGGGATGAAGCAAAAGGTGAAGGAGGCAACTTTTAGATGATTAATCTTTTTCGATATCTTGAGTATTTTGCTTTTGTATTGTCTTTTATATGTGGAGTTAAACAATATCTGTAGCTGTGTTTTTAGTTGTTGCAACAAGCTGCGAGTGGAAGCTAATACTCCTGTATGTTGTTTTTCTTTTCTCTTTGATTATGCAAGTTATTCTAGTTATTCTCCTTACAAGCTGCAAGTTATTCTAATATTTCAAGCTAATACTCCTGTATGTTGTTTTTAGTTGTTGCAACAAGCTGCAAGTTATTCTCTCTTCTATCTTGGAGAGACTATGTTGCTTGAGTTCGTGAAAATCATTGCTTGAAATATCACCGATATGGCCTGATATATCTCTCTATATATCATTTTACAGGGCTTGCCACAACCGATATGGTCTCTAAATATCATTTACCATTTTTTTACCTATTTTGGGTGATATATCCCCAATATGGCTGATATGTTAGCCGATATGTGGACCGATAAATCTTTTTATATGGCTTGTCACAAAACAACATACTGTGTTTGATAATTTTTGAGTGAGATATCATGATTTCCTAATTATATCAAATAACATTTTGCACTAAAAAATCAGACCAAATGTCATAACATTGATTTGTACTGTGGTTTGCTTTACAAGGTTGATTAGTGATCCTAAACATATATTATTCACATTTTGTATGCTTATATTTCATTACATATGTTGAGATTACATTTTAGTCTATTATACTATATATGCAAACATCCGTTATGGCATTCTGATATTTACCAAATATCCCCGATATTTACCAAATATCCCCGATATTTTCCCGATATCCGCAATTTGATATGAATTTTGGAAAATATTTGGTCAAGAATATAATTATTATCTATAGTTTATAATCTAACACTACATCACTACAACAAAACTGTTTTTTTATAGCGTTGAACGATAGCGTTTATGTTACAAGTGCTATAGATTGTATGTGTCTTATTTTTTGATAGCGTTTGTAAAATTTTAAACGCTATAAGTTCTTGATGGCAAATTTTTTTTTCTGACGCGACGTCGTTGAATACTTAAACGGAGACTGAAAATTAAAACATGCCGCCCAAAATTTTCATTCGTCTCCTCCCCCAAATTTCATTGGTCCCGCCCCGAGAAAAAAAAACCCTAACCCAAAAAAAATCCGCACTCCTCTCTTTCAGACCCACTCCTCTCTTCCCTTGCTCGCCTCAGCTCTCCCCTCACCGTGCGCTCCCTCTCCTCTCTCCTCTCCCGCTCCCAGCAAAAGATCGCCGACCTCAGCTCTCCGGTTCTGGTGCGTTTTCTTCTCCGTCGACGTTATTAAAGAAATATAAGAATTGCCCATGAGTTATGATGTGTAGAAGTTATGATGCGAAGAACCCTAACCAAAACCCTAATGGCCTGTTTGGATGGAGGGTAGAGAGGGGGAAGGGAAGGGAAATTTCATTTTAACCTTGTTTGGGAGTTTCATTTTGGAGGGTAAAGGAGGGGAATGGAGGGGAAATTTGGCCCAAATTCTTACACCCCAAATTGGGGTGTAATGGAGGGGAAGGGAAGGAAGGGAATTTTTCCCCTTCCTTCCCCTTCCTTCCCTTCCCTAATAAAACTCCCAAACACACCAATAGGGATGTTTGTCCTAATGGACATTAATTACTTTGGAACATTTTCAATTGGAGAATTTTTAAAAAACTGGCCATTTTTTACAAAATATTAGCAAAATTGATTTTTTTAAAAAAATATTTAGCAAAAATGACCTCTTTTTTAGGATATCAACTCTGCTTGTCAAAAAGAAGTCGATTTTGTAAAATATCAATTTTAAAATACGTGGGACTAGTAGTCCCGTATAATTAATTGCAAGGGACTACTAGTCCTCTGTATTTTACAGGTAATATCTTGCAAACTCGACCACTTTTTGGCTAGTCGTGATGATATGGACAAAAAGATGTAGATTTTGCCAATATTTTCACAAAAGAGTTAATTTTGGTAATTATTTTAAAAAAATTGTTTAAAAATTTACATTTTTAATTTCATACATTGACAAAGTGAGCTAGGTATAGCTATATGATGCAGATAGATATGTTAAATCCCTATAATTTTACAGTGTAACCTTGAAACAGTATGAATTTGTTTTATGGTCTATTACTAGCTACAGCTATTCTTTGTATTCTTTACTAGCTTGCATGAACTTAGGATTTACTCAACTTGATAGGTGATGATGTAATACCCCATCCTTAATTTTTTCTCATATCTACTTGTGGCATTGATTTGATAGTGTTTATAAGGTGAACCATGAGATTTAAGTGGAGTACCGATTAGTGAATTTTGACAGTGGTTAGCTAAACAACGTGCACTATACTAAGTGGATCCCACGACTTACATCGCGCCAACGGGCTCACGAGTCCCGCAGCGTAACAGATGATATCCAACAAATAACCTTCTAGAATTAGATAGGGATATTAGGTTCAAATATTTAGAAGGACAAATTTTATTCCAAAAATTTCCAATGTCCATGGAGCATTATCGATTTAAACTTGTGCTTTTTTTAGATCGCTCCTACTTTTAGTTGATCATTAACATCAAAGATTATTTGATGATGACCACTCACACTCAACTTTACTGCCATTAATCTTAAAAAAATGTATTACCATCCCAATTTATGTTGTAAAGTCACTAAGCGCGGAGACACTACTACATATTTGCTCTAACGCAACGGTTCAAAACCGTTGCGTTAGTCATGGAACCGTCGCCCTTGAGTAAGTGTGACGGTTCTCAAACCGCCTTATATGCTGTCGTTGCTCTACCTCTACCGTAACGGTTTTGAACTATATTGCGACGGTTTCTTGAACCGTTGCCCCCGCATCTAACGCGTCGGTTATAACAGGCAAGCAGTTACAGTAACGATTTTAGTAGGCTATAGCTATGGTTCTGATAGAGCTACGGCGACAGTTGGAGCTATCGCAACAGTTTTAAAAGACCTAACGCAATGGTTTTAGTATGCTATATCAATGGTTTTAATAGAGCTACGCCGACAGTTGGAGCTATTGTAACAGTTTTAAAAGACCTAACGTAACAGTTTTGATTGAGCTATCGCAACAATTTTGATCGAGCTATCGCAGCGGTTTTGGTCGAGCTAAGCTGTTCTTGGTTTCCTACGTCAAAATAATATAGTATTCAATTACCTGGACAATCTTTTTAAGAACATGGCCAAGTCAAATTTTAATACACAATATAAAAGTGAAAATGTTGAGCATAATTAACCATAATGATAAGTGCCAACATACATCAGTATAGTATAAAAACTACAAAGTATTAAATCCACACACCAACATTTCAACTCAGAAAATATTGTACTGAACTAACATTCAAACAATGTACATCAACATTTGATTACAAAACATGAAACTTCTCGGTCAAAGACTTTATATTCTCTATTTGTTTCGAAAAACTTGTTCCCCAATGTCAAATACTCACTACGAACCTGTCAGTATCAATCTCAAATTTGCCTTTCATCATTTCTGTATCTGTGTAAATTTCCATGAATCAACATAATTTTTACAATAACGATAATAAAATTGGGAAAAAAGATATTGTAATTATTCAAAATAAATAGCTTAACATAAAGGAAATAACCCACCTGCATCAAAACCTTCCATTTGAGTAAAATAGATGGCTATAGTTTCTTCATAGTCCAAACCATGATCCTCAGATTCACAATTTACTGCAAAGATAAATTTCAATTTGCTCAGTATTCAGTTCAATGCATACACATGTCCAATAAAATAAACAAGAAGCTCATCAGCTCATCAGCTTAAAAAAGATATCCACTACTTGTTATTGCAAGACAAACTTGACCTCCATAGAATCCATTTG